TCCAAGTCTATTGATGTTGTAAAACGTGATTTTGATTTTGTCCTGCTGTGTTTACGTTATTGTTTCTCAGAACCTTTGTTTTTTCTTTTCATCTTTATAGAGATGACGACGTTGTTAACTCGGCTTTGCCGATTCAACTTCTTATTCCTCGAGAACTTTTATTGTTTTATCTATTTATATGCATTTTCTGGAAAGAGGCAGGATGAAAATGTCAACAGCTTTGCCAAGTCAACTTCTTATTTTCCGCGAACTTTTATTGTTTTTTTATCTTTTTATTGCATTTTCTGGAAACGGAGTGTCTAACGGCTTTGTCGATTCAACTTTTATTTTCCCAGAACTTTTATGTTTTTTTTATCTATTTTAATGCATTTTTTGGAGGATGAGAAGTTGTCTAACGGCTTTGCCAGATGCAACTTCTTGTTCCCTAGAAATTTTATTGTTTTTATCTATTATATTGCACTTTCTAGAAGGATAAGAAGTTGTCTAACCGGTTTTGGCAGATTCAATTTCTTGTTTCCCTAAGACGTTTATTTGTTTCTTTTACATATTTCTGGAAGGATGAGAAGTTGTCTAACTAGCTATGCCAGATTCAACTTCTTGTTGCCCCATAACTTTTATGTTTTTATTTGTTTCTATTGCATCTTTCTAAAAGATGAGATGTCTAATTGGCCTATGCTAAATTCATTTCTTAGTCTCTATAACGTTTATAAGTGATTTGATATTTATTATTTGGATCAATTATTTTGTGAATATCATTTTGTTGATTTTGTGAATGTATTTTATGATGTTGGATATGAAATTTTGCTTTGAATACAGAAGGTCGTATGAGTCTTGGGGAGAGACTCTATAATGCATGATATTAGTGTATATGTTGATGTTGAGGGTCCTGTTGGTGGTTGTCCTAATACTCTAATAATATCCAGTAGTATCAAAAGGAAGGATGTGTTATGTGGTGAGAGTGGTAGGAGGTCCTAGCTATGTTCATTTATGGTCATAGATGTTAACGGATTAAACCTTGGAGTGATATGATAGATTGTATTTGCCAAGATTTTGTTGTGAGAGGGTAGAGGTCACACACAGTGCATGACCCCGCGACTTCCATTAACATTATATCCCAGAAAATAGAGCCTAGTATATAAGCATCTTACAAGATTTTATGGTGATGTATTACATATAATAATAGTGTTTGCCTCTTTCGAATTTGCATGGTAGCTCACCCTTACTTGTTTGTTTGTGCCAAAACCTTATTTTTGCGATGATGTTACCACGTTTATGTTATACAGGAGCAGATGAGGCGACATCTGAACCATACAAGTGAAGTAGGAGATAGAGAAAATGAAAAAATAGTTTGAGAAGAGAAAGAAAAAAAGTTATAGGGTTTTTCCTGATGTTTGAAAGTATGGACTTTTTTACTCAATGATTATTGTTAATTTGTCTTATTATATTATTTAGAAATGATTAGTGTGTGAGATTTTATTTTGTGTTTGTGTTACACATATTATCAGCACAACTCTCATCTTCGTGATCTCTTACCATTATCTTGCTCAGTGTAATTTGTTCTACCTCATGCATCAAACTTGTTACAACCTTAAGAAAAACAATATTTTGACAACTTTTAAAAAATACATCTCTTTAACTTCCTTTAAATATAATGACATATATTATAATTTAAGTTAAAAATTAAAATAAATATAACTAAAGTATTATTATTTTAGATTGCAGTGTGAATTTCTTTCCTTTCGTATTTCTCTTATGTCTCGTCTAAGTTTAGTTCTCATTCAAACATATGTCTCATCCATACATCTCACTCCCATCCACTCTCCTTCCATACCAAAGTCTCCAATTATGGTTTTCTTAAAATTGGAGTTTGTGTACGACCTAGCAAATCTTTGAATATTATATTGTAAAGAGTAGAAAGTGTTAAAACTATTTTTTTTTTCAATAATCTGTCATTATATGAGAAATTATATAATAAACTTAACTGGAAAAAATTAGTTCGAAAGTCTTATTTGGATAAGTTTTGCTGAAGAAACTTAATAAAATAATTCTAGGAAAATACGGGACTCGTGCGTTAATATTAAAAGCTGAAAATTTGTTAACTTAACCAACTATTTCAGGTATATTCAATGTTTTAACATTTGTTGGCAAAGGACAAATAATCTCAGGTTAAGGTTAGATATATTATCTTTATTTTATATTTATTTTTTATTTTTAGTTAGTTTTTTATTATTTTTATTTGTATTTTGGGTTTATCCCATATTTCTTCTATTATAGATAGAGGATCTTATATGTATATTCAACACAAGGGATTAATTCCATATATAGTTGTTCACTTATTCAACATGGTATCTAGAGCCAAGTTTTTTTGAGTAAAAAAAAATTATTATTGTCTCTGCCATTACACCTGTCGGCAGCAACGCCATTTACCGCTTCTCATTTTTCTGTCATGCATGGTGGGACGTCTCCCAACTATTTAGAGCGTCAATGTCACTTTTTTTCCTCTTTTAGGTTCATCATATGTTCTCACACGTCTCATCTCCTTCAGACAACTATTCAAAGTATTGATGGTGCTCTTTTTCCTTTTTCAGGTGCCTTGATTTTAGAATCTTGAAAATTTAAGATTTCTCTCTCCTATTCATCCATAGCTTCTTCCGCTGCTGTCTCTTCTGACGTCACCATTGCATTTGACCCATCCATATATGTTTTTTTCTCATGGAAAAGATGGTTTTTGTTATTCGTGGTGGCTCTCCAACAATTATCTCTTTATCCACTGGTGACATTCCTCAATGACCATTTGCAAGAAGAGATTTACATTGAGCAATCTCTCAGATTTGTTGCTCAGGAAGAGTCTTTTGGGTTGGTATTTCATTTTTTATATCGTCTTGCAAATCATTCGCAATTTGATGTCACTCGAGTGCAGAAGCAGATATTTTCACTAAGACTATGAATTCTATTATTAACAAGCTTGATACATATGTATGTAGTAGTTTGAGGAGGAGTGTTAGATATATTATCTTTATTTTATATTTATCTTTTATCTTTAAATAGTTTGTTATTATTTCTTATTTGTATAAATAGAAGATCCTATGTGTATATTCAACACAAAGAGATTAATCCATCTCTAGTTGTTCACTTATTCAACACAATTAAAAATCGATGCATAATTAGTTATTTAATAGGTAAATTTTAAAAGGAAAAAATCAAACTTTACACACAGTTAAGACATTAATTGATGTTTATTGTCCCGCCTAGACACTTTGTTTTATCCTATGTTTATTTAGATGTGTGTGAACTTTTAATTTAAGATACAAGGTTTCTGAAATAAAAATATTCTCTCATATCTATCTATCTATAGAAGATTATTTTTTACAACAACCAAAAAAAAGAAGTAAATTTTCAATGTAGTTGCATGCAATCACTTTAAAAAATTTCCCAATCTTTAAAAGTTCACAGAATGGTGCATTTTAATATTACTATATTTATGGGGGAAAAAGTGTGTTCATAGTTATATATGAGTGCATATATAGACAGCAAACTACTGATCTGCATGTATGAAGTGTTGTTTGAGATTCAAACCATGTGTAGAATTTTAATTATCTGCATAATTAGTGGGGATATTGGGAACATCAAACTTAACATAATATGTAAGTAACACTGCTATAATAATGGATGAACAAATTTATAGAGCATCGTACTATTATTGGTGAGATTTAGACAGGGGTCTTTCCATATGATGAGACTTCTGCAGTGTAAGAATATTCTCTTATTTTAGTTATCCATTAACGTGCTTCATAATAACTTTATTCATAACATATTAGGGACCACTATGCATGTTTTAAAACCTTTTGTTTCGATTCTAAGTTGTTTGAAATATTGAGAGGAAGGAGTGGTATTGTGAAAGGAAGGAGTATTTGGAGATATATTGTTAAGAATGACATTATTAGAATTTATTATTATATATTTCAGATAATTATCTACTTTAAAATATGAAATTTATTATAATTTTATCTTAAAAAGTATCTTAGAAAATGTATAATATGGAATTATTAGATGTGATAGAAATATTTTTAATTAATTACTAATAGCGGGACAGTGTTTTAAGCAACCATATGAACAGTGATGTAAATAAATGAAGCAAACAGTATAGTGTGGGCCTATGCTATGATGGGAGGGCATGGCCCGGCTCGTGTTGGCCCAATTTCATCAATACATGGTAGTACCATCTTCCACCACCTTACCCACCTTCATCCTTTCTACCTTCTCACACACTTTATTTTATTTTTCATCAAAACTCAGAATCATCAATTTTGTGTCGGCTCCATAGATAGGGCTCATAAATTTATATCAATTAAATCATTATATCGTATTCTTTATTAATTCTCTTATTTCTTAAATGTAAAAAATATATATTTATTTACTTATACTATTTTTAAGTATTAGGAAATGTGAGTTAGAAAGTACACTCATAAATATGATAATAATGTGCTCACTAAGTGAGTTTAGATTCAAATTTTAATTTATCCTTCAATTTTTTAATTTGAATTCCAGTTAAAAAATCCATCCCTCATTTGTCACACTGAGCTCATTATTATGCAAGGTCGGGCAAACTACTTTCAACCGACAACAATCGAATCACAAAAGCAGAAGAGTTGACCGTAAAATCGAATTAACCAAATTATGTCCCACGCTTTGGTTTTGAAGTCAAAACTCAAGAGCATGGGACAACTTCATATTTTATTCATGTCATAACACCCAATAAAATTATAATTTTTAATTTATTTTATTCCTATTTATCTTTTTACTTAACGAAAACGCGTCAAGTACGTACATTTTCAAAACACTCGTTTTCAGAGTTGAATTCTTCGAACATCGCGTAACCAAAAATTGATAAACTACTCGTCTTTCCTATTTTTGTTGCATCGCATTGATACGCCATTAAGAACCACCGTTCAAGCAAACAAACACAAAAACTGGCAGAAAAAATTATAAGAAAATTCAGATTTATGATGAAATCTCAAAGATAACTCATCCACTAAAAGGAATACCCAAGTATACAACAAAAATTCCACCATCAGAATATGTACCACATTTTTTCTCCTGTTAATACAAAAAGAAAAGGAAAAAAAAATCCAAAGAAGTTAACGCGTACTTGAACTTGTTCTACTTGTACTTGAGAGAAATCAAATTAAGCTACCCACGTTAAGATGTTAAATCTATGAAATTATGTAGAAGAATTGGGTGAACTAAGCAAAAGCTTCGCTGCTGGAGGAAACTCTGAAAATGAGCTCAAGGTCCGGTGGCACAAAGTAGCCGTTCTTCGGTGGCAGCCTCTGCCGCGCCGTGTGAGGCGGTGACTTCTTTTTGGGAGCAGGCGGACACACCATCGCCGCCGGTATCCGACGAGGGGTGCGTTTGGGCGTGCGGCAACCTTCGTCAACGTTCTTGACCATGTTTTTCAACTTTTGAGAATGTTTGTGTTTGGGAGCGCGCGAACGTTGTTATTTATAGGTACACCGAGGAACAAGTGGGTTGGGGTGACTCAAGTTACTTGCTCCGCAAGGAGACAGAGTAGGTTACGGGCTTTGGGTCGCGCAAGCGTGTGGTGGAATCTTGAGGGAGTCCACGTGGCAAAAAGGGCGGGTTTCTGGCACATGGGGCCCTCGATGAGGGGCATAGGATTCTGGTTCCAATACGTTTTGGGCCTTTGAATTAAGTCCACGGGTTCTGTTTTGGCGGGAAAATTTGGGTCGGTGGTTAATGGGCCACGTAGTTAATGTGCGCGTGCGCAATGACCTTCGTAACGTTTTCTGATGAATGCCACCGCCAAGCTAACCTAAACCGTCAATGTTGGCGTTCCTCCGTTAAGTTAAACGTCCTTTTGAAATCGTTACGTGGCTATGCCTTTTGTTTGTTTCAACTGTGTGTTATTTAATGTTGGGATAACGCTCACGACTCCACTCAGGAAAAAAAAAAAGTAACTTATGGTCTATGTGCAGAATTTCTGTACCAATAACAGTGCGACATCTAGTTTACAACCCATTTCAATTTAATTATTTTCGTTTAAATAAAGTAACTAATGCAATTAATATTAAAAAAATATTAATGATTTTTTATTGTTAAAAATTTGAAAGTAGCTTGGAATTGTCGGCGCGGGAGAAGTATTTCTGGACATCCTTAATGGGCCATATGTTCAGTAGGCCTGTAATGTGGGCCACGATGGATTTGTTAATAATGCTAGGAGAGTTACTCCCTACACCAACTCACATTGCTACTTGCACCACCACATTTTTAAAAATTTTAAAATTATCCTTTATGTTTTAAAAAATCCTACACCCCCACTTCTTTTCTTCAACGAATGTTGACATTCATTGAAGAAAAATTTTTAGACGAATTTTGACAAGGATTTTTTAAGCCTTCAACGGATGTCGAAATTCGATGAAGATTTTAAAAATCCTTCAACGGAACGGATGTCAAAATCCGTTAAGAAATTTTGCATAAACGGATTTCGAAATCCGTTTAAGGAAAGAGAAAAACAAAACTCTTGCAAATCATGAGAACCATGGTGATTTTGTTTGCATGCGGGTAGTGAGTAGTATATGTGAGGAAAGGAAAAGAGAAGGGTCACGACGGAGTAGGTGTATGTGTTTTAGTTTTGTCTGGTAGAGTGGAAGAAAGCTTTTTGCGTGAGTTTGTGAAGAGAGGAACGAGTGTGGTCACAGTTTAGAGTGGTTAGGAGAGTATATTGTGCTCTCAGTTCTGACTGGAAAAGAATTGATAATAGTGATAGGTTTGGGAAAGCCGTGAGTGTGTTGTGAGGAGAAAGATAAGAAGGTAGGCTCTGGAAAGTGGTAGGAAAGCTTGGTAGGTTACGTGTGAAGAAATGCCTCGGGTTGGTGTGGTGGAGTTAAGATAGTGAGAAAGGAGAGTTAGAAGATCCTTTCGGGATGTTAAAGTGGAAGAGTAACTTTGCATGGGAGTTAAATATTCTATGATTAATTTAAAATGAGGATGTCTTAAGTGGAAAGATATGAGTAAAATAAGGGATAGGATTTATGTAAAGGGTAAGAAGAGAGAGGTTGCCTTTGGGTTGTTTCTCTTGGCGGAGTTTTCTGCATGGGCTTTCTATGTTGTTGAGTGAATGGGTATGTGGGAGAGTTTACTTGGTTAGAGTTTGGTTAAAATATTGGAATCAAAGAAAGAGGAGTTGAAGAAGTAGAAGAGATATGGAGTGTGAATGAAGGTATGATGGTGTTACAGAATGTTAGAAAGTTAGTGAGGGTGGATCGTTTTATTTATGCATGGTGTGATAGAAGAAAGAGAACTAGGGGTTGTGGGTTTTGCAGATGGTGAGTTAAAGATGAGTGAGAGGAAGGTTTGGTTGCTTGGGTTGTAGTGTTTGGAAGATATTATGGGTGGAGGTTTTTATTGGATAGAACATAAGGAGTGAGTGGGAGTTTTGGGCTGAGTAAAAAGAAGACGAGATAAAGCTTGGAAGAGTTTTGTAGGTGGTTGGAAGGAGAGAGAAAGGAATAAGAGTAGAGGAAGAGATATTTCCTAGCCTTAGAATGTAGTTGGATCCGAAGGAAAAGAGGAAGAGGTAGAGGTAGCCATGTGTAGTTTTGGGTGGAGTTACGGGTATAGGGATGGGTATGTGTATGAAGGTAGAGAAAGTGAAGAAAGGCAGAGAGAGTATTATGTAGAGATGTTGCATGGAAAATGATTTCACCTCGAGAGAGCCAAGAGGGAGAAACGTGACATCGTTATTTTGGAATGGAAGGGAGGGTGTGGGTCTCACGTCAAGGATTTCCAAAGATAAAGTATTTGTTTTAAGTTGGAATAACACGTGGGTGGGTTTGTTTGGTTATAGAGAAGAAATGGGAAGTTTAGTGTGGGTTAAGCGTGAGATTGACGAGAGTGAGAGTTTGTGAAATAGTATATATGTGTATGTGGAGGATCTTATGAGAGAGGGAGAAACAGTGAGTAATAGGTCTTTGCATGAAGGTAGGTTCTTTATAATGGAAAGTGAGAAATTGAGTATTTAATTGGAAGATATGTGAACATTTGAAGATAAAACGAGTTTGAGGTTTAGCATTTATATGAAGAATAAGTAATAGAAAGAGAGAGGGGTACGTGAGAAAGAAAGAAAGAATTGCATTGGAAGGAGAGGTTTCAATGGAAGGAGAGGTTTCAATGGAAGAAGAGAAGAAATATAGAGGGAGATGGAGAATTTAAACCATGAAGTAATTGCACAAATGAGGTTTCAAGAGTGTTGGTGTGTTATATCATGAGAATGTATGTAGGAGTTTGATTGGTCGATGAGTTGCAAGGAGAAGTTTTTGCATGAAAAGTAAGAGGGAGAAAGGTGGGGCCTTAATAGTTGTTGGGCAGAGAGAGATAGGTTTTAGTTTCATTTTACAATGAAACGGATGTGGACAACGCTTTTCCTTCAACAAATATTTAATTTCAATCGTTTAACAATTCAACTTATATTTATATACGTTTAAATATTACACTGAAGGGCAAAAGTGGAATTAGGAGGTGCAGGGAGCAGTGTGTGGTGGTGGAGAGAGTAACTCGCTAACGCTAGGCTATTGTTTCTTGTGCTTTTACAATTTCTAACTGCACTTTTACAATAATAGAAAGAGGCCATAACACCTTTCGCAACTGGTGCTGTTCCATCGCCATTTGCCGTAAAGTAAGAAGAAGAGACTGTGAATGACTGCTGAAGAAAAAGAAAAGAAAAAAATACAGAAAGAATTTATTTTAGAAAAATTATATTTGGAGTTTATTTTATGTTTTGAAAAGTTTTTTTTAGTGCACATTTCATACAAGAATAACTCAAAACTTATTTTAAAAAGTATTATGTGTTTGGGAAAGTCTGATTCATGAATCTTATTTCAAAAAGTTTGTTTTGAAAACTCTGTTCAAGAAACTTGTTTTAAAATACATTTAATGTGTTCTGTGTTCGAAGTTCCACATCGATTAGAGATAAAAAAAATTCATAGTTTATAAGTGGGTGCAAACCTCACCTACAAATTAGTTTTGTGGAGTTGAATTAGACTTAAAAAGTCTACCTCTAACATAAAAATTTTGAAAAATTTATTATAGAAAATTTTCACAACATGTAATCCGAAAATCATTATTAAAGAGAAAATTGATTATTTGAAAATCTACTAAAAACATTGTGGGGTAAAGGATGTAAAAGCCTAATGCTACTACACCATTTTTAAAGGATGTAAAAGCCTAATTATTAATTATTTGATGTATAATTAGCAACAAAAAGTTAAGGTTAATATACTAAAAATTAACTAATTCAATATTTTTTAAAATTAAAGAAGTAAATTGAATTAAATAAAAATTAAAGATCTAGTTAATTTTTTTTATAAACATTAAAAGATCAAAAGAATTTTAGTAAAAAATGTAAATAAATATCAAGACTAAAGTATTTATATGGTTTTTTATTAATTAAAGCTAAATTAATTAATTTATTAATATAATGATTATTTTTATGAAAAATATGATCTTATAAAAGTGTAAACACCGACAATATCTTCTTCTAATACTCAAAGAATAAAAAAAATATCGACTAAAAATAATCACTTTCGAATTAAAGTTTTTAAAAACTTTTTTGAAAACATACTTTAAAACATAATAAACTTGACATAAAAAAACGGAAAATTACTCGCATTTTAACCTTCACATTTTTACTTGATTAAAATTTTATAATTGTAACAAAATTTTCAATTTAATTATTATAAGTATAAATTAAAAATATATTACAATATAGTATAAATTAGAACACACTGTATATATAGGTAAAGTTTTAAGTACCATTGAAAAAGAAGAAAATAAAAATTGTATAAAAGTATACATTAATATTAGAAAATATAAATTTAATCTTAAACTTTTTTTAATTTAGAATTATCAATAATTATTCATGTTAAACTAATCATGCAAGTACAACTTTATCTCACAATATCTAATTCATCGTATACTAAGCAGATCTTGAACTTTTTTTTCTTCTAAACATTTGATAGTTGCTTTTATAAGAGAATCTTTTCAAATTTGGCCAGAATGTTGGATAAAAGGTGGAGGATAGCACAGTGAAATAAAGTGCATATATTATACCTAAGTTAAGTTATATTAATTTCAATACTAGTAAATATATCATCATGATCTAAACCTCAGCTACAACTCAAAATTATTAATGATAGATAATACGTGATTGTAAGTATTGAAAATTTTAGTTATATTATATTACAATTTTATTATAACATTGTGTACTTTAAAAAAAATAATTTAGTTGTCGTCATTGCTTATGGCTTTTTGTTTTGTATTTATTATTACAATATATAAATGTCGTTTTAATAGACATGAAATTATTCTCTTACTTTATACATACATTTATTATATAAAATAAGAGAACTAATAACTTTCTTTAAATATTTTTTGAATAGATTCTTTTAGAGT